TGTGTCTAGTTAAAACTTAAAACATATAGTTTATAATCTAAAGAGAAAACAGTATCTTAATCTTAAAAATTACCTTTATACCTAAGTTTTATACCATCTTCCCTTATGTTCATAATAAATCTATCGCTAAAATGGCTTATAACATTTAAAGCCCTCTCATTTTGTGTAAATATGACCGGATTAAAATGATTTATAAAAGATAAATGATTTGATCAAATTACCAGGATTTTTATACTTTTATATTATTTAAGTTTATAAAAGCAGTTTCATAAAAGTATACAATAAAAACAAAACAATATTAATTGAATAATATAATTTGTTAATAATATGATTCCAAACTAGATGGAGGGATGTAGAAGTAGTAAAATCATATTTTCTTATCACACATATTTCATTTTAACAGTATAGGTATATAGTTTATACGTAGTTTATAAGATAATAGGAGACTGGGGTCTGAAGAAAACTGTCTAGATACAATAACTTTTTAGAACCATGAATGAACCTTATTAAGCCTGAAAGAATTTCACAACGTTTACTCAATACACTTTTATTTTATTCACCATTACACTTTTGTTCTCAACACCTACACTGTATAATCTAATTAAATTAAAACAGTTTTTAAACCAACTTTTAACTGCAGTCATTTTTAGAAATATACATATTAACATTATCAACGTATCCAATTACTACTACTACTACTACTGCCATTACTCGCTGACGAGTATTTAACACGAATTAGTGGACCAGCTTTTCTGTGACTGAAAAACCCAATACATAATGTTATCTCTCTTCCGCACTCCGGACATTCAAAAATCTCATTGCTTTAGCTTTGTTCGGGTTCTTATATTACCGATTCTGAACCGTCCTAGAACTCAGCCGCGCATGCGCTAATGAAATAATTTCTCCATATTTCCTTCTGCGCATGTGTATCGCAGTTCTAGGACGGTTCAGAATCGGTAATAAGAAAAACCCGAAGTAAGCTTTTGTTGCTTCTTTACTTTTTGGTTGTCGCTGTTAACTGAGTTTACAATTCTTCTCCATTGCGTTCTATTGTGCGTTGCTTCTTTCCACTGATTTTGCATGTTTATCCCCTTTAAATTTTCCTGAAAAAAATTCTTGTCCTTTTGAGTTGTCCACTCGGTTTCCCCTTCCCCTTACTCGGTCTACAAGCTCACTGTAAAGAAGATATTTTAGTAGACGGTTTTCTTGCATCCTGCATCCGTGACCAGCCCGTCTTAAGCGGGATTTAGTAATCATGACTTCAATACTCTCGCAGTTAGCTTTTTCAAGGACCGATACATTTGAGACATGATGGAACCACCGGATTCTTAAGAGTTGTCTAAGGTGTCTCTGTTGCAACTTGTTTAATGCGTTCATGTGTCGTCCGAGTATAGGCAACTATAGAGTATCTAATATGTGCTGCCAAAGAACCACAACCAAAATTATAGTAAAAACTTCTCAGATTATGACCCCAGATAAAAATATCAAAAAAGGAACAATCGTAATCTTTGTATTTTGTATTTCGTCGTAAATACAAATTAATTAAACATTAATTTGATAATATCTGCAAATTAAAGAATAGGTTTTTCCAAAATTATTGACGGTTGGTTTGAAATACACTTTTATACTTTGAATTGGGATGATGAGGCACAAAATAACTTACTAGAATTAAAAGAGAAAAGAGTATCAAGGATTATATATTAAGGTTTAAAAAGCAGATTCACAAACTTATTAATAATAGCAAGTGATAATATTGGGGTAATACATATATGGTTAAGAAATTGTTACATGAAATTGATACTTGGAGCACAAGATAATTTTCGGTGATTACATAGGGGATGAAACGATAGAGCATTAACAAAGCATTAAGCAAATAGACTGAGAATAGCACAAACGAAGATGGAACTGATATGCCCGTTGCTACAAAGAGGGAAAGAAACAAAGACTTGAGAGGCAAGACCAAAGTAACAGACAAGGAATCGCCCAATTCAAGTAGAGGGTAGGCAATGTAGCCTGAATAATACAAAATAATATATGACAAATAGATTAATTACCTAGATGAAGCCCTAAAGAAGATCGACAGATGCTCCTCAAATTGCTCCTCAGAACCGAAGGATTTGTGCAGTCAAAATTCTTGATGTGCAAAATACTTTAATTTAACAGCGCTTTATGGAAATCAAACCTTAGAGGCACTGGATAGAAGAGACATCGAGAAGAACTTGATCAAGATCGATATCATCATATCTTTCAGATTGGTCAATACAGATGGAAGCTGAAAATACTACAAAAATGCTAGCCATAAATAGTGGTGTGCCCACATTGTGGAACATTTTATATGATGACTTGCTTATAGTAGAAATGCCTGAAGGCGTTACTAGGGTTTGCAGGTGACGTGCTATGGTAGCAGTAGTCAAAAGGGAATGTATATTAATGGATGTTGTTAATACCTCGCTGCTAAGAACGTGCAAATGGCTGCTTAGCAGAAACTTGAGATTGGCCCCGCAGAAGACAGAAGTCTTAACTACTAAAAGAAAGCTCTTCTATAAAATAAAAAGAAAGATCTCCTATAACATTTCGAATAGCAGACGCTACAGTTATGCCAAAACAAGCTATTAAATATTTAGGCGTATGGCTAGACACAAAAAGAACCATTGCCGAGGATATAAATAAAACTATACAAAAGGTCGAGGGCACCACAAGTTTATTAAGTCGACTTTTACCAAATATCGGAGGACCTAAACCGTCTAAAAGGCGGGTTCTTATGGGTGTGGCGCACTCACGGGTGTTTTAGACAGTATCTTTACAAACGAAAAAGGTCCAGTACTGATCTTTGCAAATACTGTAGCAGAGTGGACAATGTTGAACATGCCCTGTACTACTGTTCCCGATGGAGTCACAAAGAGTTCGATACCAAATGCGTACAGGACTTACATTTAATATCTGTAGTATGATGGAAAGTTTAGTCAAAAGCATAGAATCTTGGGAAGGCGCATATAGGACTTCCAGAGAAATAGTGGAAACCAAAGAAAAAGAACATCTGCTTTAGACAGCCTAATGCACTGAAGTCATGTGAGAGCGGTAAGTGCATAAAAGGGAAAACGAGGGGAGGAGGGTTTTTTGGTCGGCAAGAATCCGACACTACCAAATATCATACAACATCACTTGTATTGAAGGTGTCTCTGCAAGATATGCATGATTTTTCCCTCCCACCTCATCAAAAAAAAAGATCGACAAGATATTTTGTAAACTTTGACAAAGATTTTATACAAATATGTTTTTTTTTCTTTGGCTCTTACAGTTCACATAAATTTAAAGTAAAAAGTAATTGGTAAAGAGATTAATGACAAATGGTATTTTGCGGTGAACTGTGTTTTATATCAGATTGATAATCAAAATGTTTTATATCGTACCGCTCTAATGAAGAGCGGTAACATTTAAGGCGCCGACTGGCTCAATAAACTCTGAGGAACTTGTTAGTTGGATTTATACGCATCCAGTGGCGGCTGACGCTATGGAACAGATAGATATCAGCTGTTCCTATTATATTATTTACAAATTTAACTTCATAACATTTATATTTTGATCGTTTAATCTACCTCAGACAGAGAAGTTGGAAGATATAAATTTATACCCACATTCAACATAATATAATCAACAAAATATAAACCAAAAAAACATTCACTTTCCAGGAGTGCACCAAAAGCGAAAAATTTGAGCGCCAAAGTACAGAAATGGGTATTTTCGAACATGCGTCGGTTTAGTAGAGCTGTAGCATCGTAGAAACTAAAATATTCAACAAAATAACTGAGAAATTAATTCAACTGTAACTGGTAAAATATTTTACTAAGTTAAATTGTTGTTGCGGTCAGATTTCCTGGATGCTTTTCGAAATCCAGGCCGGACTGTCCCGGAAATCTAACCTCGAATTAGGCTAAAATTTACTTAATTTCGTAATATCATTACGGTTCATAAAATATTTTCATGTATCGTTCCGATTTGAAATAAGTTTTTATCATTTCGGCCATAAGGAAAAAATTGGTTGGTAACTTTGTCTACCAAAATTATAAAAAAGCTGTCTTTAAACTCACAGTTTATACCCATATTCAGTCCATTTAGAACTCTATCTATAAATTATGTCAATTATGGTAGTTATAATAGTTCATATATACGGTACAATACAGGTTTACACATGTGGTACATTTTCTTGGAGTTCGTTCGGTGGAAAAGGCACTCCACTAGCCAGTGGGTTTATTCTTTAGCTGTATTCTGTTCGTACGTCAAATTAATTGGGACAATTAATTGAAATAAGTTTCTAATTCGTTACTGTAGATTCTTATAAATTTATGAAAGGATGATAGTTAGTTTTCATTTATTTCTGTCATCATTTATCAAGTCGTCGCGCGTCGTTCATTATACGAGTATTACCAGTTCCACAATTTAATTATCGTTTTAAAAATGAATTCTTCCAATACTTTAGTCTCTTCAGCGTTTGTTTTTTTATACTCAATACTTTGGACTATAAAAATTTCAGACGTAGTAATAACTGAATCGTCCAGAGAAGAAGGGCATGTTGAAAACTGTTCGTCTAGCAGGAACTACAAGAAACATTGTCAAAACAAAAGACGCGGTTTCAATGTTGATTTATTTGAAGAATTACTATTAATTTGAAGAATTATTAAGTTATAAAGAATATAACACCGCTAGAACTGTGACTAAATCATAAATTCACAATAGAAAAATTAATAACAGAAATAATTATCAACGCCAAAACACTGGACGCGCGTTTTTCTAACCGGATTAGCATCATCAGCAAATGATTAAAGAAGTTTTTACCATCTGTTGATGATCGTAACATGGTTAGCGAAATGTAAAGATCACCTTCCCATTATATTTTGTATCCACTCCAGAAACAATCCGCGCCACCACTGCTAAACATCTATAAGAGGTCTCTCGCAGTTTTCTGCTTTTTAATGACTATATTTTTTTATCTTGTTTTGCAGTAGTCAGTCAAGATACGGCGCTTGGTGTAAACGAGAAAAACGCATAATTCCAAGAATTCTTTCCCTGGAATGGGTTCAGCGCGACATTCGGACAAAAAATGGACAGGTAAGTTAAACAGATAATCTGCACCAACAACAAAATATTTTTCCTTCGCACAATCTTTACTGAAAAAAAATACATTTTGAGTTTGATTTTGATTTGGCTGTACTTAAACTGCCGTTAAACGGTAGCTTACTAAAATGCCGTAATGCCGTTAATAGGTCGTTGATGTGACGCACTTGACGGCTATATGAAATATAGGAATTTTATAAGGACTAACCAACGCTACCCATCCCACCAAATAACCAACGCAACTAACCTCGACACTGATAAAAAAATTTAAAAAACAAATATAAATTAGTAAAAACCAACCAACCCCACCAAATAACCAACTAACCAATGAATTAACACCCTCAAAATAATCACGCTAACCAACCCGCCAAATAACTAAACCAATCCAACCAAAAAGAGTGAAACCAATGCAATAAGATCACGCTATAAGCAAAAAAAATATAAAAAAGTCTTGGTCAGCGTGAGATTTGAACCCCGGACCATTCGCTCACGAACCGATAGTCTCAGCCACGGAGCCACAGGTGCTCTTGCAGTATGCTTATGGCCGGGCATTACTTTCCTCCGACATGAACGACGTCACAATATCTATTAACGGCATTTTAGTGGGCTACCGTTTAACGGCTGTTTAAGTACATCGTTTTGATTTATACAAAAATGCAGTTAGGTTGGGTCAATAATATTGTCAAAAATTATTTTAAGTAGAAAAAAAATGTTGCTCGACCAAATGGCCACAAATCCAATACCTACATTTTTGAGCCATTTTTGTGGCATTCTTGTTTTGTTTCCAAAGCCGGAGTCTTTTGCAAGTCTCAGGTCGGTAAAGAGCATCCACGTTTTATTTAATGTATCGATATCATCAGCATCTTCACCTTTCAGCTTATTCAACCATTTCCAATTATGGTGTAACCTCCCTCACATACTCTCTTTGTAGTTGGACCTATTGTTGTCAATTGTTGGCTATATGCGGGCCCAAGTTATCCCTGCTAATTTTTTAATATCTTGGTTCCATCTCAGGTTTGGTCTTCCTCTAGGTCTCTTAATTCCTCGTGGGTACCTTTTCTTGTAGTCCATCTATTGGCCGTTCTTCTTGTCAGATGTCCTGCCCATTGCCATTTGAAAGATTTGACTCTGTGGATGACATCTATTACTTGGGTCTCTTGTCGTATCCACTCTTTTCTTTTACGATCTCTCTTGGTTATCCCCGCATATTTCGTTCCTTTGAGCGTCGTGCGACCTGCAGTTTCCTTATGATGGTCCGTTTTAAGTGTCCAGGTTTCGCATGCATAAGTCATGACTGGTAGTACACATTGGTCGAATGTTTTCTTCTTTAGATAAAGTGGCATTCTAGATTTGAATATGATTGAATTTCTACCATGTCTTTTCTTGTATGTATCGATATAATCGTTGTTTAATTTTGCGATGTTTACCTAATCATAGGAAATTCCTCTAATTATAGGAAATTTTAATATTATGTCATAGCATTGATAAGTATTCTCAGAAAAATGAAAATGCATCTGCCTGAAATCATAAGTTTTAATTTTATATAGTTACTAATTGGTATTATGTTATCACTATTCTGTAAAAATATGATTATTTTCTTGATTGAAATAATTTTATTGGAATAACCCAGTCTTTAGTTAACACAACAAATTCATGAGACAAGAAAGATAAAGTAGGAACGAATGAGATAATTACAGAAAGCACTAACAAAACAGACCCTAGAATACCAACAATTCGTATAAATGTTACGAAAACTATCCAACTTTTCAAAAATTAGAAACTATGTATTTGTCGTAAAATTTCGAGTGTTCGTCTAGCTTCCTCAATCGGTTGGATGAGCTGGTAGCGTGTATTACGACGACATATGAATATAACCAAAATCAGCATTGCGTCGTATATTTTACGAAAGATTAGTATGCACGTTAATATTTTTTTGGGACATTCTCGAGCTGCTCTTAATTTTAAAAACGAATTTGTCGAAAAATGTCAAAGAGGTGGAAAGATACACAAACAGACCCCTAACACAAACAGAATTAGAAACACTGTGTCTGGCACTAATCCCAACTGACAGCGATGACGAAAGACATTAGATAATTTCCGGTATAGCGGCTCAGAAATTGAAGAAAATGATGGCCTCTATGTGTCTTTTATAACATTATCAACCTGGCGCATGGCGTGTATAAATAATTGAATATTTTTAATCGCAATCTAAAAAGATAGGGGTAAACCTATAACAAGAAAGGAATTTATGATAAAACTTCATTAGCAACTTACAAGATCGTATCTAGATCACTGTTTAAGTGTCCCAACTTTAGAAAGCTCACTTAAATTTCTGATCAGGGATATTTTAGAAATTCCTCTGCAGACAGATTTACAGGAACCCCCAACACTAAAACGCACTATTAGTTATATGTGTCCATAAAAAAAACAAAGAATGACGCCACTTTATTGTAATCACGCTTTTTGCGCTGAACATCGTGAGCAATACCAAACTGGTGTGCGATACTGAGAAATAATTATTGATTTCTTTTGCGATTGCATCGTTTTCTGAACTTCAACATATAAGTTAAGAAATTATCGTAAAATTTTCAAATGGTTAGTAGTTCCAATTTTTGTACTTTTTTCGTATTGGAAAATATAATGTTTGAAACTTATAGGTGCTGCAAAGTAAAATTATGTTAATTTGAGTAATAGTAGTCTTTTAAATTTGCTCGTTCTCATAAATATTCTACCGGATTTTATCCTTGAATAAAAATCAAAAAAAATCTCGCTTGTCTTGATCCTCAATCGATCTTCATTTTTAGAGGTCATTTTTTCAAGATATCGATATACCTAGAATACCTGAAGCAAACAAAGTACGACGTTGTTTTTCAATTACGCGTTATTATATTTCTTATTTCCTGAGAGAGGAAATTATTTTTGAAGCATTTAGCTATAAAACAGTTATTAACTACTCGTATACTTGTAAGATAAGTTTGCTGTTTGACAAAAAAGTCATTATGCATAAACGTTTTTTTTTTGTTCTGTAAAGTCCATATCGATATTTGAAAGTTTAAAGTTTCAAATAATATACAGGGTGGGTAGTGGATAACAAGAAAGTGTATGAAGTCCAGTATGAAGTGCTTCATTTTTAAAGAATGGAATCACTTTTAACTAATCAAAGCAAACCTTTGAAGGAGGGTAAAAGGACAATAACTCACAATCTTTAAGTTGTTTAATTTAAATTTTAATGCTTAAAAAAGCAAGGGGGGCGACATGTTTCGGGAATTTAAAATATTCCCATCTTCAGGCCCAAAGCTAATAACAATTACAATCAAAGCTCGGAAACTCAACTTTTCCGAGTAGTTGTACTTCCTAGGTGACTTTTGTGTGAGTATGCTTTTATTTTAAAGAACACAAGTTTAATTAAATCAAAATAAAAAATAATTCTTCTACATATATAAATTAAAATAAATATTAAATTTCTTAAAATTAAACTAATTCAACCTTGTTTTTACCTTGTTTTTTTCTTTCAATTTATCTAATTTATTTATCTATCGTATGGCTCATATGCATGCAAGAAAACCAGACACTTAAACATAGACATAAAATAAACTACGATGTAAATGAAAACATTACAATGTAAATATAAAATAAAACAAGTATAATATAAAAAGACAACATAAAAACGTATTTACGAACACTATATATTAACATCTAGATGCCCTATCCATTCCAAAGCTGATGGAGAAGCCTCCAGAAAGTCCCTCCAGTCTTCACCATAAGCGCGTAGGTTGCACTCTCTAGTTATGTGATGGATGGTTTGGCGAGGGGATCCGCAATCACATTCTGGGAAGGTATTTTTCCCCACTTATAAAGGGAATCCGCACATCTTCCATGGCCAGAGCGTATCCTATTCAAAGTTGACCATGTTTTCCGCTTTAGATCGGTACCCGGTGTCTGGCAATAGTTATGTTTGAACCAGGAATATAGGTGCGCATCGGCCATTTCTCTCCATAACTGAAGCCACTGTTCTCGAGAGTTGTAGTTACTGCTTTTTAGTTGTTCAGCTGTTCGCAAAGGTGGATTCCTCGACTTAAGTCTATTCACCTGTAAAGCAGGAAGTGTTTTATGAACAGGTAGCGTTGGGGTAGCTATTATTTTATCAAATTCTCTAAGAAGAGCCTCGTTTCTGCGTAGATTTGGAGGTAAGATGTTACTCAGGACTGGAAGCCAGTAACTAGGGGTGCATCTGATTGTCCCTGTAATCAGCCGCATGGTGTTGTTCAGCTGTCTGTCTACGAGATTTGTGTGGTGGCTGTTCAACCACACGGGTGCACAATACTCTGCCACACTGAATACCAGACCAAGGGCGGAGATCCGAAGTGTTGTTGCTTTTGCACCCCAAGAAGTACCACAAAGTTTTTGTATAATGTTGTTTCGTGTTCTGATTTTCCCAGCAACATTTTCTAGGTGTTTTCGAAATGAGAGTGTACGGTCTAGAGTAATCCCCAGATATTTTGGATATTTGTTATTCGCAGAGTGGTGTTACCAAACTGGACGCTTATTTCAGTATTCGCCAGCTTGTTATTAAGATGGAAGGTAGCCACTTCTGTCTTATTTGCACTGGGTTGAAGTCTCCATTTTATAAAATAGGCATTCAAGGATGCGAGATCCTTTGTAAGCGTTTCTTGGGTTTGATATAGCGATTCATGTTCCGTTGCTATGGCTATATCGTCTGCGTAACAAAAAATTTTCTAGATTGCGTATCTGGTAGGTCAGAGATGTATAAGTTGAATAAGAGAGGGGCGAGGACGGAGCCTTGGGGTAAGCCGTTGTTAAGTTTTTTAGGTTTACTTGTGCTCTCTCTCTGAAATACTTGGATATATCGGTTACTTAGCATGTTGTTGATAACTCGAGCTATAGTTTGACAAGGAAGTGCTTTAAGTAATTTATAAACCATACCATCTCTCCAGACTGTGTCGTAAGCGGCTGTTAAATCGACAAAAGCTATG